TGATATATCACTTGATAAATGAAAATAATTTCCTGGTGCTGATATACTGGCTAAAAGCTAACAAAATCCGTCTCAGCTACTCTCTTACTCACGTGGGTTGCCACAGCAGTCAGCACTTTTCCTAAACAACAACCCTAATGGACTTGTTTCTCCTGTCAGCATCAAACCAAGGAACTTTAGTTTGTTAGTTGCATGTGTAAACCACTACACTACGGAGCCATTACAGGCAAACACCTAATACCAGCTGGCTTATATATTGGTTTGGGCTCTAGCTGTTTTAGCAAAATGTTTTAGCAAAAACCTGAAGAAGGGAAAAAGAAAAAAAAAAAAAGAGACTTCTTGCTCTGTTTCATAAAAACAAAACTGAAAGATTTGACATATTTTTTGATAACTTTTACTGTCATTCAAGAAGGAAAGTGCCAAATCAAACATGCAGATCCACTGGAGAAAATAAGGAAGTGGCCAAAAAGTATCTACTCAAGCTAGCTGGGTTGGTTAGCAGCTACCCAGCTTTACCCTAATGATAATGGCCGAAAGGCTTAAAGCATCCTAAACAACATCCTTATCTCATCTTTTTAATACAATCTGTTTAAAACTGAGATGAGGAGAAATTTTACAGCTTTATTGTCTATAGGACATTAGAGCATCTCTGTAGTGGTTTTGACCTAAGTGTTGATAAATACCACTGATATAAAGCTTGGGATGACATTTCTTGCTTTCAATCCTCAATATGTAAGCAAACTGTGCATGCAGTATGAATCTGTTGTTCTTGAGGCAAGCATTTTCAAATATAAAATATAAACTGAATTTAATATAACGATCCATCTCAGCGGAAAATGCATCCAGTCGATATGGCCGCAACCACCATGAATCTACCGCAGCACACTCCATTAACCCAGAGGACTGGCCGGTCCTAAGATAAGTCAGCAAGTGCGAATCACAGGCAGACACCCAGCACCCTTACCAGTCAACCAGGCCGTATGTGAGTGTCAGGAAAATGGAAAATAAGGGTTTGGCGTCAAATGTCCCACAGACTGGAAGTGGCATAATGATGGATGCTCATAAGCCTGTCAAAAAACTCAACCTACCTGCCAGCAAAGCAGTCAGGGAGACCGTCGACCAGTCCAAGCAATTACAGATTCAGCTAGACTGCAGCCTGCATCCACAGTATGTAAGAGAATCCCTCAGGGTTTTTATAGAGCGAAGGTGAGGATGTCAGCAGGCTCCAGTCAGGCAGGCCCCATAAACACTGGCTTCTGTGTCTTCTCACCTCATTCTAGTTTATTTTGAGATGATTTGGAATTCTAGGATATGGGCCATTTAAATGAAAGCTGAAGATAATCTGCAAGTATCATAATGGTTCAAGAGAAACATGAATCGGTATTACCTTTAAGATTTGATGAGTGTTGAAATAGGTGATTTTCTTCATCTGCAGGCGTATAGATAATAATGTACTTTTGGAAAACAGTAATATCTATCTCTGCAACATTCTCCCTCTTTGAATTTTTATGTATATTTACAGCATATTTTTTGTAATGATTCATTTTTTTCTTTTATTTCCTCTTTTAAAGAGACAACAACAGTCCAACGGCTGGTTATTTGCTCCTCCGAAGATGCCAGAGCGAGAAGATGTGGTACAGATGTGACACTAGCACACATTTTTGGTTTATTCTGACTTTTTCTCTAAAGGTTAAACAACTCTGGAGCTTCCCGCAGTTTGTGCATCATCATGGAAATCATTTCTTCATCACCAGCCAGGAGAGTAAACGTAGCTTCCCTGAAAATACGTACATGGCACATACTTTCTTCCACAGTCCTGAGCCTAGTGCAGCATTTCTGATTAAAACCAATATTAAAAACATAGACAAAAAGCAAGGAGCCTCAACAGAGTTTCCGATATCTAGCTGTAGTTTTGTGACACTATAATTGTAACTGGCAAAGATTAAAACACGAAGCTATTAAATAAAACAAAGAATATTTATTTTAAGAACTGACTCTGCACTTTATTCCCGAGAGGAATATGATGGGTGACAGCAGGGTGCTCCCAGAGAGCTTCGTATACTGTAAAACCTCATCACCATCGCTCATGTTTTTCCTCATTCCCAACCTCTCTTCTCCTCTATTGATCGACCCATTTCTTTCTGTCTCCACTCGTTGCAGATCATCAGCACACCGCCTCCTTCTCATATAAACTTATAATGTCATTGCTACGTTTCACGAAACCCAAGTCATGCCTCAGCGCTACACTTCTGGAGTACAATGGACTAAAAAACAGCCATGCTAACCTTCTAACATGGGGAGACATGTTGAGAGATAGTTTCTGCAAAAATGTTGCAGGAAATCTTTAGAAATTACAGCTATTTTTATACAGAGTCCCTCATTTTCACAGTATAATGAAACTAACATAATTTTAAATATAAAGACTGCTGCTAATACTTGGAAGAAAAAAACCTTGCAGTCAATAGCGCCTTAAGTCTAGAACCCGTGGACATCACTAAATGTCGTTTCCTTCCTTGAGATGCTCTGACAGGCCTTTACTGCACCCAGCTTCATTTGCTGCTTGTTTGTGGGTCTTTCTGCATAAAGCTTAGATCTTCAGTAACTAGAAAGCATCCTCTGTTGGATTGAGATCAGGTGACTGACTTAGCCACTGAAGAATACCTCATTTCATTGCCTTGACAAACTCAATGGTTGCTTTTGCAGTATGCTCTGGCTCATTACCCATTTATAATGTGAAATGCAGTCTGATCAGTTTCACAGCATTTGGATGAATCTGAGCAGAGACTACAGCCCTGTACACGTCACAGTTTATCCTGCTGCTCCTACTAAAAGTGAAATCAAAAATAAAAACTACTGACCTGGTTACACTGTAAGCAATATGCCCATGTCATACGACTGCTTCCACAAGGTTTGACAGATGATCCAAAGACATTTTTCAGAACTGTGCAGGCTTGTTTAGATATTTTTTGACAAAGTCTAGTCTGGTCTTCTTTTTCTTGCGTGTAACCAGTGGTTTGCACTTTGTTCGCCTCTGTACTCACATTGATGAAAGACTCACTTCCTTGTAAACCTTGACAAGATGAACCTAACTCTTTGAGAGTATTCTTGACATGGTTAGATGCCGTTGTTTTCATTTACCATGGAAATAATTCTGTGATCATGCACTTTAGTTGTCTTCTGTAGTCTTTCGGGCATTTTAGTATTGCTAAGCTAGTTATTGGCTCAGTGGGGCGATCGTGGCTCAAGAGTTGGCAGTTCGTCTTGTAATCGGTTCGAGCCCCGACTCGGACAGTCTCAGTCGTTGTGTCCTTGGGCAAGACGCTTCACCTACAGCCAACTGGTGTTGGCCAGAGGGGCCGATGGCGCGATATGGCAGCCTCGCTTCCGTCAGTCTGCCCCAGGGCAGCTGTGGCTACAACTGTAGCTTGCCTTCACCAGTGAGTGAATGAATAGTGGAATTGTGAAGTGCTTTGGGTGCCTAGAAAAGTGCTATATAAATGCAATCCATTATATTATCCATTATTAATGCATTCATTCTTTCACAGCCTGACCTGGCTGTGAAACCACTTGTTATTCAGTTGTCCAATTACTTTTGACCCTCAAAAAATAGGCGACAGTTTATAAAAAGTTGATGCAAAATTACTGTTAAACCCCTTAAATTAGAGCTAATAGTCTGCAGTTTAATTTCTATTGTTTGACTTCAAATTCACAAAAACTACAAATATGTGTCTTTGTCCAACAAATTGTTGACCTCACTGTATAAGCCTGAGAAAAAAAAAACATGTTCTCCGACTCAGTCCTCTTTGCTTGGCTGAACATATCAAGCCACTTTTTTTCTCCAACACTTTTTTTTGGCAGAAGCGCCGTCTCACCCATGAGAGAAGACAAATCACCAGTCCACCAGAGGACCCAAGAGGAAAGTCACTCACACTCATATTCACACTCAAAAGCGCTTTGGACTTTCCAGTACAACAAACTTACGTGTCTTTGAACTGAGAAGACACGTGTAACAGTTGTGTGACTCAAACACATTGTGGCCTAACTACTAATCGTGGACCATAGAGACTGCAGACAAATGAAATGGGGGGTGCCTGTAAAAATGCATTGTGTTTTATTAAAGTGTTGGAAAAACAAAGTCAAGGAACACTGAAGTGGCTCTGGCGTATTGTTGTGGCCCAAATGCCAAACCTCTGGTCTAAAAGATACACCTATACTACTGCTGTATTTTGATAGTGGTAGTGCAGACCGATGCACACTCTGCTATGGCTATTTGATTAGTTCGAGATCTGGAGACTGATGAAAACTGCTGCATCTGACTGAGACTATTTTTATATTCTCTGGATCCTGGAAGAGATCACTACCATTATCACAAAAGAAAGATAATCAATCAGGAAAAAGTCTCAATGCCAACAAGGTTTGTTGCATTATAAGAGAGCTTCTTTTTTTGGGGGGGTCAAGAGTTTAGCTTTTCCTTTATAAAGGTGAAAATGCCAAAGTGGGAATATAGAGATCAGAGGTCAGGGAAGAGTCAGGCCATTTCCTCGAGATTAACAGCTCTTCGTAAGGAAGTTATGAAGGATTTATTAGAAGCTGCCAATCCGCCACCATGCCTCAGAAGCGTTAAAATGGGAGTACTGCTTTAAGAACAGCACACTCCTAACTCTACAGGTGACTTCATCCTTTAAGCCAGATGTCAATGGTAATAAAGCTGAAGGCTGAATATTTGTAACCCCAGAGGTAACCCTTGTCATCACACACTGTATCCAGGGATACAGCGATGAATAATAGATGCAAGGCACACCTCCTTTGATCATTACGACCAAAAACAACTGATATCAAGCAAAACTTCAAAAGAAAGAAGGACTTTTTAAAAAAATTATCTGTTACATATGACTAGCATGAACTGTTTCACATAAAGACTCATGCTAAAGCACAGCTTAGGGGGTGGGCGGGTGTCACACTGGACACATATATAAAAGCACATGTAATGAATCACATACCTTGAGCAATAGCTATGGACTCGAACCTGTGCAGCTCTCTGAGCAGACAGGTGCGCTCAGACGGATGAAGGCTATAAATAAACTCCTTGGCTCCTCGGGGTGAGTTGAGGGGCTCCATCGGCTCCTTCAGGGGGTGTGTGCCCAGGTGACACCGCTGCACCACCACGGAGAGCGGGGTCTCCGAGGCGAGCTGCACCGGGGATGCTAGAGCGGGCGTTTGGTGGGTTTTGAGCGCGGCTCCGGTCAGACCAGTCCCGGGTCTGAGAGAGAAGGCAGGCCGCAGGACTCTCCGCAAGCAGGGCAGCATCTCTGAGATGGGGAAGTAGAGCGAAGAGCCGGAAACCTGATGGAGCAGAGCAGGCGACACCAGGCCTGGTTATCACCACTTTAAACGCGCACTCACCTAAAACCACATGGCGTAAAGATTTATATAATTATTTATCTCCAGTGTGGAACAATCGCGTCAACAGCCATCGCACGATAACATCCTGTACCCTCCACAGACAGCCAGGCTTACTTAACAGGAGCAAGAACTGGCCTGGCAATGATCACCACACTGACCATGTCGACGAAAAAATATTGATTGGAGCGGATTGAGCGCATTTTCTTGGAAACCCAAAGGTGAAAAAACAGATTTGCCAGTTTTCCAACTTGACTTCTCGGACTCACCTCAGTCGATGCTCCGCTGTCCCGTCCAACAACCTCCACAGGAAACCTTGAAAACAGTGAGGTCGCTCCGGCTCATAGGCGTTCCCCCTTTAAATCCGGTGAGATTTTGCGAAGCCCAAAACCTTTATAACTAGCTGGGTGTTTATACTTAATCGCATTTTTGCGAGCCTGGAGCCCTGTCGGTGTAACCTCTGGCTGACAGGATAATGTGTGAAGCGGATGGGAGGGCACTTAAGCGGCCAGCAGCCCTGGAAATATTTTCCAATGGCAGCGCCGCTTTCCTCCGTGCGTAGCTGTGACGGCACCGCCACACGCACGTACAGTCAGGACTACACTGACGGTATGAGATGATTTTATGCCACATCATCTCATAAATTATTATTATTATTAATATTTTTTAAAAATGTTGGGTGAGTATTCTCGCGAGGATACATTCTTACTGTGATTTCGCGCATCATCTGTGGTGTTTATAGTGATAAAGGTCTGTGTTTGTCTCCTGGGTGTGTGTCCATCACTCTCTCTGCTGTTATGCACGTGGAGCATTTGAATTATTCAGCCAGATAAGACAAAACTACCACGACGAAACATGACATCATGTGGAAGTTATTCGTTTTAGAAGGAGAAGCCCGCACCTCAAGGAAAAGTAGTGTCTGTTCCTCATGCTGTTTCGTTTGCTTCCCTTTTTTTTTGACTGTTTAAATGAGTAGTCCACTGACTATTTCATTGATAAGTATTTCCAGGCCTCTAAGGATGGGTGAAGTAATAAAAAAAATCGAAGTCGAAGCCTTGAATCAGGTTTGGATGTTTAAACTTGGATAAGGGCGGCCCCTGGTGGCCAAAATCAGGGATAACATTTCTGTATTATTAATTAGAAATAACTTCTCGTGTTTAGGCACATTTTAATTAGTGCTTTGTGATCCTGCAAAGGTTGGTATTGATCCGACAGCAAGTAAATACAGGATCAGTATTGCCGACACCAATACTTTCAGCCTATAAGTGTACCTTATATAGGGGAGAGCAGATTTATAAAATCATCATCAGTAAAACACTTTTACTTTCCATAAAAACTAGTACACACACACACACACACACACACACACACACACACGCTTACATATTCGAGAAGACACAAAGCCAAAACAAAATTAATATTCTTTATTATATTGCTAAAGCTGTCATAACAACATTTTTACCTCCTTAAACAAAATGCATTAAAGCCTGAACTCTACAGGGACAGACTGAGAGGTCAACTCTCTGTGGGGAAGGAAAACAGCTAAAAACTAAACTGGAAAACAGACTTAACTATACTTTAAAACTTTCACAAACTATAAACTTCTTATAGGATATACTGACATTTGGCAAATATAATATTTATATATATTTATGCTAGTAATTTAAATATGGGACTTACAGGTTAATGATACAAGTTTTAAATGAGTGGATGGAGATTTGCAAGGCGCAATCTGTTTAGCAAACTCTTAGCATGGTTGTTGTCATTCCACTTTCAGTTCAATCTCCAGGGGGAAAAAATCATCACTTTAAACAATAATTTACAAAAAAAAGAAAAGGTTTTGTTGTTCCCACTCAGATGAAAATGCGCCGTTTGGACTGAACTGAAGTGGGTGCAGCTCTGCACGAGACCTGGGCTCATAATACTGATGAGACTCAAAACCACACCTGCTTGGCATTTTTCTTACAAAAAACAAAACTGTGCTTTCAAACCATCTTATCTGAATTCATGATGCAAAATATACAGATGTGTGAAATAAGGGACTGACAGCGGGACAGTCGTGAACATTTGACTGAAAACTTTAGACGGCACTGATCGAGGGAACAGCTCTGTCACTCTGATATTTTATAGTAAGTATAAAAATAGAGACGAGTTGAGGAGGAAGACATTTAAAGAATGAGAAATGAAATAAATTAAAATCGTGTGAGATCCTGGACTAACTAAATAATATTTACAATTTCAAACATCCTGTAGTAGCCATGGTCTCACAGTGCTTGAACTGAAATGCAAATCAAATACAGACCGAGTGACACTAACTAGCCTGTTTAGCCTCTGGTCTAAGGACGGGCCTAGTATCTCATCTTATATGATCGTTTTTATGCGATTTCCTTGTCGATAACATAATCACCTTTGTAAAAACAACCAAAAACAACAAAAAAAACTAATTTAAAGTGGCAGTTGTAAAAACGTGGTCTGAAGTCTGAAGGACAGAAACATCATGGCGTTAACAAAAATACCATTTAACTCTGAAATAATGCTTCAGGTTCAATAAAATGTTTAGTTCTCTCTCTCTTTTTAAACAGAGACAGTATATACTTTGAGATTTATTGCTGCCGCTGTGAGCAATCAACGCCAAGCAGCTCAAACTGTGGTCAATAAATGACAAAGGAAAGAGGTCGTATATTAACACGAGAACCTCTGACAAGGTTTAATCTGCCACCCATGAACGTGTAGAGATTGCAGATTAAATGAGTCATAAACTGAGGAGAAGTAAACCCAATCCACTCGGAGGCAGTGCAGTATGATGATCCTTATGTCCCTGTTAAAAGATGTGGAACTGATTGATTTTGAACGATTGAACGAGCGATGCCGACACTCCCCGGTAACACAGACGTGCAAAATTATTTACAAACCGTGTCAATATGAACCCTTATAAAGAAGAACAGGACACAACTTTAGTCTCTCTTAATGTCACAGCGTCAAACATGTGACACTTTAGTCACACTGTAGCCTCCTACGACTCCGAATGCAACGCAGTCATTTCCTTTGCTTTTGTTTGGTTTTCTTTAGGAGCTTCCTGTGCTCATGGTGTCTTTGAACTGTGACTGGAAGCTCACAGTTCAAGCTCAGCACCTATGAACAGCCATCAGGGCGTGCCTCCAAATAAGCACTGATGCAGGTCAGGAGTTGCCAAAAATGGAGCCATCAAAGGCCAGCCGCTGAAGCCGTTACTGTAATAGAGCACTTTAACGTCGCTCTCTCGAGGGCGTGTCGTACCTGCAGAGGTTATTGCCAAGTCATCAACAGTAAGAATGCTGATCCCACCGCAACAGTACAGTGCACTCCCAAAACACTGAGTCTGTGTACACATAATATACAGTACTTTTTTTCCCCCCACTCTGAGGAAACGTAAGTATTGTGTGAAAATAATGAGTGATCAGTGTGGTGCTACTTATTAACAAAAACATGCTGTTTTATGCTGCTCTTTTACATCTGTGGGCCTGGAATTACAGCTTATACAAGGATTAGCACAAATGGCCTGATCCAGAGTGAGTTATTAATCTGGCTTTATATCATTTCTGAGGCAACGTAAGCCCAATAAGACAACTGCTATTGTCTTTTCTTTGAGTGATTGTAAATGGGGGCTGTAGCAGGAGGTTCTCACAGGTGACGAAAGCCAGCAGATACCACTGATATTGCAATGTGTTACAAGAAGCCTTTTAAGTTTACACATTGCACTTCTTATCTGCAACGTTCCTTTTTCCTAAAGCTTCTGACCTAATTTACAAATGAGGTCACACGTCTCCTGCGACCTTTGCCGAATCACGCGATGCGTGGTGCAGAGCGATCGTTGGTGAAGGTTCTCTTGAGCTTGACCCCTTTGCGGATGGCCATCAGCATGTCTCCTTCTTCTTGCTCTCCTGAATCATCTCCTCCTCCCTCCTGTCTCATCTCACTCTGAAGGTGCTGCTGGCTCACATAGTTGGGTAGATTGGGAGGGTTGGTTGTGGCCTGACCGCTCCAGGACGCCATGGGTAGCGTGCCGGGATCCACCTCTCCTGTAAATGTTGGAGAACTGGGGGATTCTTCTCTGCCTACCATCTCCTCGCCTCTGTTCCCATTAACAGCTCCTGGCATATCAGGCACCGTGGGGATCTTTACAGGAACGACAGGAGTGCGAATGGGAATGGGGCCTGTACCTGTAACGGAGCCCGAACGGCGTCCAGAAGGTTTAGATGAAGGCGTGCGGCGGATCGTGGCAACTCCAGGGGTCACAATAACTGGACCGTGGCCTGTAGAAATGCGAAGAGAGGCATTTTGGGAACTGATGGTCACGATATTTTATCACCAACATTAAGAAAGTGGCCAAAACAGTTACCTGTAGGCGTAGGAGGATACTGTGCAGTAGGAGTAGATGCATAAGCGCCTGTGTGGATTGGTGTGGGGGGATAAGGCCCCGTGTGGTAGGCCCCCGGGCCAGGATAAGGTACCTGACTGCTGGGTAGCCCTGCTGTGGAGGCTGGGCGTTTGGCCTGGAACATACGTCTGTAGGACTGAGTGATATCACTGTTTCTGGGGATGGTGGAGGACTTATCAAAGTCAGACTGCTGCTGCTCAGACTCTGGGTCTCCAGCCATTGAGAAGTAGTCGTAGTCTGATACTGAAATGAAACAAATAAAGAAATAAGCAGTGTATGCACCCAGCCACGTGACGTATGATATGATGCTAGCAAGTTAAAAAGAAGCAGAGAACTGGTGAGTGTGCTACCTTGTGACGGTATAGTATCCTCAGAGCAGCAGGGTGTGTTGGTCTGTGTGCTGTAGCCACTGGAGCACTGGATAGAGTCTCTACTGGACCTCTGGGTGTCCAGTTCCAGACCTCTGGATAAGGCCAGAGCCAGATCATCCTGGGCCTCGATATCCCCGGCCTGGAGAAAAACAGATGCAATCAACCAACAAAAAGAAAGAAAAAACAAAACATTTAGTAACAATCTGAATGTTTGCCTGGAACCAGTCAGGTACAATTCATTAAAGTCATTAAAGTCATTAAATTCAACCCATTAAAGTCATTAAATGGGGACATTAGTGGTGGGAGGCTATTCATATCATCGAAATTCCAGGACAAAAACATTGGCCTGCAAGTAGTTTAATGTGGGTTCACCTGAAAGTCAAGTATCACAGTTGGCAATACACAGACTGATCTCCGTTTACAGACTTCATGAGTTAGTAGCAGTAAGATAGAAATGAATCACAGAGGCATTTTTATTTGGCTAGCAAATGACCACAGCTTTTAAGCATTAGGGAGGGATCTAAGCAGAAACCATGTGGTGCTTCTCGGCATAAAAAGCCATGAAAAATTGAGAAGAAGTTAATTGAAGTTAATCAACAATTTATGGAGAGCATTCATGTAAAGTAGACCAGTAAATTTCTCACCAGTTGCTATTATTAACAGTATATTTGTCCAACGCAAGAAGAGATAAAAAACAGGCTAAACAGTAAGAAGTGCAAATGAGATTCCTTAATTAGGAAAAACGTGTTACAGAGAGACCAAAAACCCAAAAGAACATTTGGCTGAAGCCTCACTGGCGAACTAACAGCATGCTTGTTTAATCAGTTAACAAAAAGAGGGAGACAGCGACAAAAAACTGACCCTGACAGCCGCAGGTGTGTTCCTGTTCTTGTCTTGCACTAATGCTGATTGGCTTGGTGTTTGCAATGCAGCTGGAGCTGCGGTCTGGGCAGAGGGCGGGCTATTATCACAGTTCATACTCCCATTACTGTCCACCACAGCTGGACTCTCCTTGTCTTTCTTTCTCCGTAACGTGTTGACCATAGGCTGGTCATAAGGCCCAGGCTTCGCCCAGTCCTGTTAAAAAACGAGATGCAGATGTCAGTGTTTGTTGTTCATACTACATTTTTGGACTCAACTAAAGTAGGTAAACAAAATAAAGAAAAACCAAATAATTCACTGAATGTGTGTTCAAACTGTAGACAAGGAGGATGGAAATATGTCGATCGTCAACTCAGAGGAGATGGACAAACCTTCCAGCTGGGGACTCGTGATGAAGGCATCATGGGGGAACCCAATGTGCAGTAGGGAGGGTAGTCTGGCAGCAAGGCCGATGCAGGACGTGACCATGAACGAGTGGGGCAGGAGGTGGAGGTTGAGGAGGAGGGAGGGAAGAAGGGGAAGGCAGTGTTTGACACTGAGCCCAAACTGCCCCCGTTGCTATGCAGGTAGGGGGAACTGGCTGGGCTGTAGTGGTCGAAACCATTGGACAACTGTTTGCGTGCATGCCGATCAGGAGGAGGGATGAGAACAGAAAGAAGACAAGCAAACAAATGTGTAATGGGATAAATCGTTTAAATGATAAAAACAAAACATAACTGAGGATAACTCAAGTACAGGAAACACAAAAAATATACTAATGAAATCAACACAGAAGAAAGGAACTGCTCACGGATGCTGAAATGAATGAAAACTGGAGATGCACATACAGCATACAGAGTACCTTTGCATTACACTGAATCGATGGCATACACACCCGGGTTTAGAGTTTAGTATGAGGAAAGCATGTTGCGTGTGTAAAGCTTATAAGATTCATTGTGGATGAGTGTTTATCACCTTGTCAGTAGAGGGCTGAGGTGCAGTAGTATCTGCTAGTGAAGAAGGGGTGCTGCAGTCACTATGCAGCAGCCCTGTCTCTGACATCTCAGAGGGGCTGGAAGTGGGACAAGCCTGGGACAGCGAGGGCAGCGGCAAACAGGCAGTGACACGAGACCAGAAGGAGAGAGGAGCGGTAAAAGGAGGAGGGAGACATCACAGACGGACGTGTAAAAGGAAAGAATCAAAAGATAGACATGTCAGCAGGTAGCGAGATAGAAGCAGTTTGTTAAGAAAGCAGAGGCAACTTTTTCACTGTTCTCAGCAGTTAGTGCAGTGCACAGCCGAATGACTGCAGAAGAGGTGCACTGGGAGTCAAACCAGCATTAAATGTATGGACATCAGCAGTGCGAGGTTGAGTGCTGGAGGCTGGAAACACAAAGTTCCTTGTGATGTGTAAAGTGCGAGCTGTGAGGCCGTTCTCTTTCAAACTCTTTCAGCTACTGTAACTACACCAAGAAAGAGGCAACGAGGAGGCCGATTCCCAGGACTGTACTGTAAATGGGTCAGAGTTAGACTTGCCAAACCACATTCAGTGCATCATAAAAACTTGGAGCCTAACTCTACCAATGTGTTCTGGACAGGTGAACTCTGGTTGCTGGCATGCCAAGACAACATCAACTAGTGCAGCTGCTCTCAGTGCTGATCTCCAACCGCGGAGCCCGCACAGACGATCCCTTGGACTACCTCGCAGACGATTAGATAAAAGTGACAGACTCAGACCTGCTGATAGAGACATGCTCTTAGCGACTGTAAAACATAATGTTGATGCTCTAACATGCAATTTTGCTGTAATTCATTTAATGAAAATACAATACACACCGCAGTCTGTCACAGCGGTTGACTTTTTAATAGCAGGATGGGCCTGACCCGTTTTGCCCTGGGCTAGAATGGAGGCAGACTAATTTCCTTCATATTTATGCTATAATAATAGCAGTGAAATGACTTCACCATGATCACACACACTAACTGCTGCCAGCTCACTGTCTCTCATCGTCTTGAGAGAGTTGGATCCAAAATTATGGTCAAGTGTGGGTATCTGAGGCCTCTTTCTTACCTTTTTTTCAGCTGGCAGTGGCGAGGACGACTTGGATAATGTGTACTGGTCTTGTGATGAAGAAATGAAGCCCGAGTCGTGGGAGGAGATGCTAGGAAGCCGAGCTGGGGTCTGCTGGGGTAGCGTGGAGCTGCGGTATCGATGGCGAGGGTGATGGTGGTGGAAGAGGTGGTGTGAGGAAGAGGAGGAAGAAGAGGAGGAAGGAGAATGAGAGTGAGAGCCACTGGATCCCCTGGAGTCACTACTGTTAACGCTGTTCAGACTACTGTGAAAGGGGAAGGAGCAAGCGATGAGGGTAAAGAGAATCAAGTGCACCCAAAGGCAGATTGGGTTGAAGGAGGGGGGATGATTGGGTAAGGAGGAGATAAAAGGAGTAGACATAAAGGCAAAGGTTTGGGGGTGGGGGAGTGGAAAAGACATGGTGGGAAACAATTAAAACACCACACCAAGATGCAGCAGGCAGTGAATTAGGCCAATCCCCTCAAAAACAACAACACAAACCAACTCAAGGCGACTGAAATCATAAATGGCAATAATTGCAGGCAGGATTTGTGCAAGCTTTTTGAAAATATTCACAGGAAAAAATCATGAAAAACAAAAACAGCATAAACAGTGGGTCTTAATTACTCCGTGACTTCTAAATTAAAAGATCTGTCCTACTATAAATGCAGCGTGAAGCAAATTATGACAATAAAACAACTATATGCAAATCAAATCTATAACCAGCTCAAGCTGCTAGTGCTGTACTATGATGCAGCATCTGATAAAATGTGTATGCATTAACCAAGTCGCCAAAATCTCAGATGAAAATGATATATTTGCAAAAGCCTTAAGAAACAGGAGGAAAAGCAGCAATTTTTGTTTTTGGCCTCAAAGTCTTGCATTGTTACCATATAGCAGTCAATCATAATCTAACATGTAATTTAAAGTTTTGGTCCAATCATCACACCCACAACCCTGAAATAGATTTTAGCACATTTAAAAAAAAAAGACGTAAAGCAATACACAACCCAGACATTAGACTTATTTCCTTAAACCAGAACAGCTCTGGAAAACGAATCATTGGAAGATACACAAAAGCAGTGAGGACAGAGTAAAGAAGACAAGATCTGAACAGCTAAAAATCATTAGCTGCTTCCTTTTGTCAATTCTCCTTCATCTTTCTTAACACTTTTCACCAAATACAGTTAAACCAAAACATATCTTTAGCATATCTTCTGCAAAGTATTGCAGATAATTTTGGCCACTAGGTGGCAGACAAAGTTTAAGCAAAGCCAGTAAATCATTTACTCCTACTTTAAAATCTCTTTAAATTGATATCAGCTGTCTTCCAAGCAGATTCACAAGCACTGATATGGTTAAAATGACAGTTTTGCATATTTTAGTAGATCTTGCAAAGTGTATGCGGGACACTGTTATAAAACTGTGGAATTCTAACTTGACGAAACACTGTAACGCAGTTCCATTTCTCTCATCACTTTAGGGAAACTGGTGAAAAAAACGGCATAATTAAATTTTACTTTAATTTAATTGTAAGTAAAGTGAATTTCAAAAGTTTTTATGGGTGTAGATTCATGTGTGCTTATAAAACTATGCCCCTCTTTCACTTATTTGAGCCTACCTGCACATGCTAGACTTCCTGGACATGGTGGTGCTGGGGGATGAGGGCGGAGTTTGATATGACCAACCATAGTCTGAGCCCTTCAAGTCCAAGATCACCTGAAATGGACAAAATTATTAGCTGTTTGTTTTCAGAGTTGAGAAAAAAAGGTAGTAAACAGAATTTAAAAAAAAAAAAAAAAAAAAAAAAAGCACAAAAATATGACGCACATAATGAGTACTTTATCTTTTTAATGTTTTTCCTCACCTGTTCACTCGCAGGGGGAAGCTTGTGTGGGTCTGAGGTCAAGGCTTTGAGGTCCTCAGAGATGGTCTGGAGATGGGTAACCTCTCCCAACATAGAAATCTCCTCATCCTACAAGGACAGGACATGTAGACAAGATGATTACGCCTAATCAGGTTACACACCAGTAAAAAGAGTCATTACATTTCAGTGTTTAAAGTAAAAAAAAGCTTACAGTTCAGTGTGTTAAAGAAAAAGAAAGTTAAACGTTTTCTATCCAGTGTGTGGGATGTAAAAAGCACAGAGCCTGTGGAGTTAATACATTTTTCTGTTGCTCTCTCTGAGTGGTTACCCAAGGCCCATTTCTCTTTCCTCTCCCCCGCTGCACTCACCACTATAGGCCGCAGCATGGCTACAAAACAGCAAAATCTCTGTCTCTCCTCTATAAGAGCCTTCCTCAGGGCCTGCTTCTCCGTCTCTTCCAGCAGAATGTATTTGTCACTGACATCCTGCATGGCGCTGTCCAGCTGTGGCTGGATATCACCACGACCTTGGAGGGGAAGAAAAAAGAAAAACAGGGGAAAAAGAGGAATCTACGTCAATAGAGGAATATAAAAATGAGATCAGATATGTGATCAAATTGACAGGTTAAGTATGAAAACAATACTTTTCACCTTTGTAATTCCTTCACAGCACAGATATTAAACAGAGTAGTTACCCTAGTGTGAGACGCATGAATGATCACTACTACTCTTTGGTGTTAGCTTGGTGCTAGCAACTTGTACAGCTCTGCATGTTGTTTATTGAGGTGAACATTGCTGTTGTAAAAGCTACTGTTTGAATTTCTTAACTACTCCACATTGCTCCTTGTAAAGAGCCACTCTTGTCCCTGGAGCTTCCCATCTTTTGCTCAGAAGTGGAAAAACAAGTTATCAACCTTAGGCTAAGCTTTCGCACGTCTTGGAAAGCTTCCCATATGTTATGATAAGACAGTCAAAAGGCACTCGCTTCCATCCATCTTTCCACTACCGTTTATCGATTCCTATGAATTCCTGGAATGTGAGAGAGAGAGAGAGCGAGAGAGAGAGCGCGAGAGCGAGAGAGAGAGAGTCCTTGTGCTGCGTTTTAATATGCATGTATAAATCCAGGAATGTCTGAGGACTTTTGCAGTCCCAAAGGTTATAGTGTCATTCAGCACTTTCTGATTCTGTGTTTAGAAATTGCATTTAGGTGTATGATTTTAAGAGAGGATACCCTGAAGTCAAATCAAATCCTCCTGAATTCCCTGAGGCAGCAGGAAAGCTGACGACTACCCGACACTGTGCTTCAAAGGCACTTAAATTACACTTACACGCAAACATATACACACACGCACAGAGTTTTAACTTTGATAATCAAGGTTAAGCATACACTTGCAAACTGAACAAGGTCTGTGGTCTCTTTCTACTCTCGTGTCTGGGCAAAGATCTTTTGTTGACGTTTCATGTGAGGCCCTTTATCATGCAAATAGATACCAGAGGAAACACAGAGATGGAGTTACGCAGGTAAATCATCCTCATCTCAAATGTAAAACACACTGTAAGCATGCGCATGTCATCCTGAGGACAAACAAGCTTGTTCCTCGAGGACGTGTCCGTGTGTGGTCTATGCATTTTTAACAGGATAAAGCAGCAGGAAGATACATTTTTATAATTAACAGTGACTTGCAGAACACACACAAATACCAGCACATGAACACTACAAATCTAAATATCACGGGGCAGTCTGGGTCTGTAATGACTGCGTACAAAAAACAAGAGACGAGACAAAAGAAGCTTCAATGTGAAGGGAATCCATTTACCAAGTTTAGCGGGTGAGTTTGACACTGGACTCTGAGGAATGTGAGCTGTGTGTGGCTTTATGGCAGCTAAAAAGTAAATTGACTGTAAAAGCTGGACTGGAAAGTCCAGATTGAAGTATACATTTTCAGTTTCATATAGATCCAAATGCAACTTCTGAGGCAACCCAGGGTACAATTATAACATGCAAGGGTTTGTGGAGAGCTGGCTACGTGAGCAAACTTTAGAGGGCTAAGACAGACCTCACTCATTGGTCTGGTTTCCATTGCAGGACTGAACTCATTATAGGGAAAATCGTACCCCTCCTTTAAGGCAAAAGACCAGGAGGGATGTAATCAGTGCCGTGTGTCTGTCACTTAGGTATAAGATGCAAAAACTACAAAACCAAATTTCATGAACTGTAGTGGAGTGATGGAGCGCAGGCACAGGAAGACCCCCTTACAGCCTGGTATGAATCCAAACAGCTATTTGAAAACAATGTCGAGCTCTCTTAAATAAAAGTTTGAGTTTGAGCAATATTTGAATCTAAAAAATGTAAACTCTAATGGGAAAAATTCCTTTACATGCCATGATCGCAAAAGATGCTCTGAGCGAATGTACGCTCTCTTATTAATACTCATTTATATGCAGTATGTCAGACAAAGTTAAAAAATGTTCTTATCAATTGTATCAATGTTTTCCTTCACTCGGTTTTGGGTCTCAGTTGGCCTCAGCGTAGAAGAATAGCATTTCAACCCCCAAAGCCTGTGGTGTCTCCTCAGCATGCAGGAAAATGAAGGCGCACGCTGAATTCTGGTTTTCTTTACTTTAAGCATTGGCAGACGGTTTTCTCAACAAAACCGATGTGGTTTTGGAAAGACGCTACTGTAAGTTGACGTACTTTGTCTGAAACAGATGGAAAGCCAAATATTTTCTTTGTTGCTGTTTTTTAGAGCTCGTGAGTAGCTCGAGTAGTGCTTCTAATTCTGCTTCTGTTAACGGTTGAGGCTCTTAAAAAGCAGCTGATCCCTTTACTCGCTCGATTACATGAACAGTGTAAAAGTTGCAATGTACTAATTGGTTTATGAGTTTAGCCTCTTTAAAGTCAAGTATGAGGGAAACATGCTTATTTACTGACTAAACCCCCAAACAGGTACTTGTTAATAACCTGCTTATAATATTCAACCAGAGGCCATATCTGTTACTTAACAACATCAGAGACTTAATAAAGATACTACAATTGACATAAATGACCTAAACACTCACACACAGGGACTCAAGTGTATGGACACAACACCGGAGCATACGGCCATGAAATGACAGTTGTGGTAAGAAGAAGGGTTTGTCTGCATTCCTAGTCTCTGAGCAGCTATGTGGATGACAAGGTTTTGATAGCTACCTTCTATTTCCCTTCAACTGCAGAAGGTATAATAAAGATCTGTGGTCACTGACCGCACATTACAATCTACTTCAGCACCATTTTTAATGTTCAATCATTGGTGCTGTAAGAGAAAAGGAGAGACGGTCAAATACTGTGACTGTACAGAATTCATAGGATATATGAACAAATAGCAATTGTAGCATTAGGTACACTGGTTATGTTTAAGTGCTTATTAATGCAAAAATCTATTCAGCCAATCACATGGCAGCAACTCAATGCGTTTAAGCATGAGGACATGGTTAAGATGACTTGCTGAAGTTCAAACGGAGCATCAGATTGAAGAAGAAAAGTGATTTAAGTGACTCTGACATGACATGATTGTTGGTGCCTGAAAGGCTGGTCTAGGTATTTCAGAAACAGAATTTGGGGTAAACAATATAAGCGTGGATCCATCTTGCCTAATATCAGCGGTTTAGACTGGTGGTGGTATAATGGTTAATGGTGTGGCACACTTTGGGCCTTTTTGTACAAACTGAGCATGAAACTGACTGTTCTTGCCGAGCATGTCGATCCCTTTATGACCACAGTGTACCCATCTTCTGAGCACCTTAGGATTGTGGTGAAATGGGATGTTCTCATCATGGATGTGCAACCAACAAATGTGTGTGATGTTATCAAGTATGAACGCCATGAGGAATCAGAGGAATTGGCCAGTGTTCCTTTTATTAGCAAGGCTAGGTTGTGCAAATGACTGCAGAGAGCTTTTTTAGGTTAAAAGTAAACCTAAATCATCCTAAAGATTCAAGAATTCAGCTTTTTTTCTTTTCAGTTGCTTTGAGTTGTTTGAATCAGGTGGTTGAAGTAGCCCCCATTCGATTCACATGTAGATACATGTGCACACCCAAATGAGATTAACTGCTTCAGCTTTCACGAGGGCAATGATTACATTAGGTTGCAGTCACAGGCTGTTTCTTAGAACGGCCAGGGTCCCAGGTCAGAAAAACACCCTCACAAGACACATATCAAACATCAGATATCGACCGACCAACACAAGCAGACAGATGGTGTCTTACATCTGATAGCAAATGGAGCAGTCTTCTTTCAGTGCAGCATATTAGAATCTACTAACCTACTGCTTTGCATTTTATTTAAAGATCTGTTTGTACTGCTATGAGTCAGGTTTAAAGAAGCAAAGCTAGTTACGATTGTCTTTCCTCACATCAGTGTGGAAGTCTCCAAAATGCCTAAATAGAAGATGTCTATATACAAATAGCAATAAATTCGGAATTAGTGTGAAATATTAAAGGGTGGTTAGATTCAGCTGTTTATAAAAAACATCACTTTGGCTGTTTCTGTAGTTATGCTATGACAAACGACAAGTTAAACCGCCTATAAATGTGGTTAAAGTTAAGGTGATTATCAACACAGGCCCTCAAATCAGGAACTACAGACCATGAATATATAAACAAATAAAGAGAAGGTAAATGAAGCATCTACATAAAGTGGGAATCCTGGTTTCTCCACCCCTGAGGAAAAAACAACAACAACATGCCAATATGTTGTGGCAACCATCGAGTGTAAACAAGAGTAGCCTCACCTGTAGAAAAAAAAATGAGCATGCAAATAACTGGAAGCATTTACACACATTAAAATTTGCATACAAAGATCCATGGTACCTATTGCACAAGACAACCAAGATGCTCGGTTAAGCACAATGGCGTGAGCAACAGTGTGGACAGTGTGTCTATTCTATAAGCTGACTTACCGAAATTATCAGCTGCAGTGCAGCGTAAGGTGAGGGATGGTATCAGAACCACATGGGGACAAGGAAAGGAAAAAGATCCAAGTCAAGTGAAGGAGCGCCAGCGCTAAACACTAATCATCACATGATTTTGGAGCATTGTGTGTGCGAATGGACCCTGTAGCATTTTAGGAACCTGAGAAAAAACTAAAACAGTACTTCAATGTGCTTCAATGTGTTGTTTCCACTCAGAAATAGATTACATATACAGTAAGTTTTTATGTATATTTGAGTGAGGAATTATTGACTGGCCATGTCTTTGTTTTTTATGTTTAAGCGAACTTAAAGTCCTCTTAAAACATTATTTTGCTGGATATGTTTCACAGATTCAAATGTATATTCCTGAGTTAAATCTAGTGCTGAGCTGAGACTTTTTTTTGGCTTAAGTGTTTTGTACGAGTTATCCACGGATTTAAAAACGAACCCGCAATATCCCTACAGATACTGAAGGGATATCGGACCAACTCCTTTTTTGTGTATCGAATTTTTTTTCTAGGTAGATGAATGTGTCTGTAGAACCTGAGCCAAGAAAACGGCAGAGGGAAATGAGCCCTACCCTCCGAGGGAGTGTTTACCAAGTAAGGTAATGTTTAGCCTCAGTGAAGCTGCACAACTAAATCAGTGGGGACAAACGTCTACACACATCGCTGGTGTCTAATGAAAAACTCACATATATAGTTTGAGCATTTTCCTATTACAAGAAGATTTGTCAGCTTAAGACACGTAAAAGTTTGTCTTACATTTAAAATAATTAGGTTTTTAATTTAGTCCTGAATGTAAATTTACAGTAGATGGTTCTTAAATATTGTAAATATTGTAGCGGAGCCAAATATGTCTTGTCTGTTTTTCCTTCTACCCTCATGTGTCTTTATTTTTAATTGTTTTTTTTAAACAAAGAAGACCCCCCCCCCCTTTTTTTTAGCGTGAATTAGTTTATGTTGTGTCATGTGTAATCCATTTACTGTTACCAGCATTTAGCAGGTAAAATTATTGCAAAAGTTAATTAAAAAGTACCTTTTTTTGCTTTCTTTTGAAGTTTCAGCGTGTCCGATGACTTCTTCTTAATTTCCTGCCGAGCTCTTTTGTACTCTGGTTCACATGGACAAGATTAATAAGGTCAGCTAACAGTTTTAAAGTACAGTTTTCCACAAACGTATTATGTGAGATGGGAAGAAAAAATAGAAAAAAATGACACAATTATTACGTATTTAAAGCTTTGCTAACATCTAATACAGTATGAATAGAGCTAACAGATTACCAATACTGCTTTTCCCACAATGATTGGAAGATTTTTTTTGTTCATCCCACCTTTTGCATGGTCCTTGTCCAAAGTGTTGACTCCTCTTTTCCACTCCTCCATCTGTTCTTGTAGAGGGTTGATCAGACCCTCAAGGAAGCCCCTGTAAAAGCAGCACATACCTCACCCCTGATCTAAGGTCAACCCGATCAGTTAACCACATTTCACCATATACAGCAAGTATTTGGACAGGGACCTTTTTAGTCTTCAGGGTGTGTGCTTCAGCAGATTCAATTCGAAACTGAATTGTACCGAGTTTGAGATTTAACTGGAGTAGTTTTAGATTAATATAGAAATAACTGTGTGAAAGATGCAGCAATTTGAACACATAGCGCAAGGTTATACCTGCCCTCCAATTAAAACTTCAGACAGACTGTCAGACTCATTTGTTTAGTTTTCCTTTCTGTTTATATGGTATATGATTTTGTGTCAATCATTGACAGGCAGAGAGAGAAAAACACTGAGAAAAAAAGTACAGTTATATCTGTCAATCATTACAGACGTATCTGTGAGTGTGAGAGGTGGACAGCTGCAGTCTTAGTGCATGCAACTAAAATTAGACTATTCCCACTTGCAGACATTTCTACAAAGTCCCTGTGTGTGAGTTTGTGTGTGTGTGTGCATGCGTGTGTGTGTGCATGCATTTGGGGGGTTGCTGACCCCAGCCCCCTTGTGTACAACTACTACTATGGAGCTCCAAGTGGAATCTCCCCTGAAATGCCAGCTGAAATTAGAGAGCCCCTTGTCTGTGTAGTATGTGTTTGTGTGTGTGTGTAGGTACAGAAGAGAGACCTGGTGTGTACGTCTTTACAGAGACATTATAGATGCACATACTGCCAGACGAATAGTCTCTTTCCCAGCATTCCCCGACACGGCAATTTCACCCACACACACATGAAATGTCAAAACATGGGGGGCACGGTGTGGAAACAACTGAATTACAAACCGTTTTATTAGAGCTGCACAGCATGGAGGGCAGCGTGGGTCATTAACTTTGAGTTAATAATATAGGAACTAGTGCAAGAGGAAAAAAACAGAAAAAACAATCTACCTTTGCAAGTTTTGAATCTAATCTCAAAGCAGCAATTGAGAGTGGCTCACACAACTGAATAGCACTATGGTTAAAAATAAGGAAGGAAGGGTGAAGCAGCACAGTAATATACAGTACTATAATGTTCCTTACGTGGAGAACTGTTTGAGTTTAGCCTCTATGCTGCGATGTCTCATACACATCCTGGTCAATGCTGATCCAATGTCTCTTGTGCCACCTGAAAGACAGCAAAGAAGAAGAAAAAAATCACGTTATTTTGTTAATAAATCATGCTAATTGTGAAAAATGTTCCTGCCAGTGAACAAACCTGAGACATTTACCTAATGATACTAATGCACAACTCCATGAGCGGTGTTCTAACCCCCTCTTCCTCCCACCAGTTTAATTTTGCGAGAGCTGACAAATGAGTGGGACTGAAGCAAGAAAATGAAGAAAGGGAATGATGTTTGCTGATATTTGAATTCTTATTAGTACCAAACATTTTTTTCCAGTTTAGACTTAGTCACACTAATGCCTGTGAAACAGAAAAAAAAAGAAAAATCCATCAGTGTCTTATTCCCGTTAGCCAACAAGACTGTTTTTGATATTAACCATCTCACACGAACTGCCATCCAAAAGTTATATTTGCAATAATTTGCTTGAGATTGAGTCATATTATAATTATATCAGAGCTGCAGCTGGACCGTTTAGCAGGACCTCCAATTATATGAGTAACAGCAGAAAACGTTTAGCACAGAGCAAAAACAAAAAAAAAGGAAAAATGCAGTCATGGGTCTTTAAAACAGATAAATTCTAATGTCCTAATTATTGTGAAAAGATGCAAATGAACTCCACTGACTGCAGCTCACTGCCTTCCTGACCTACTCTCTATCTACACTTCCCCATAAAACTGTCAACACTGAGCTACCAAATGCACATACTGTGTGTATATATATATATATATTTTTTTTTATACACATGTATTCAGGGGTAAATGTGCTCGCGGGTAATATAAGATTCCTTTAGGGCTGTCCACCAGAAGTCTTCAGGCTGGACAGCTAAGCAGGCCCCTGACGCTGATTGACAGAGCTATTGTCTGGCTGCTCGGTATGACTAGCCGCTTTCTCCGTGGGACTACTGCGAGTATGTCTGTGTCGGTGTGTGCGTGACAGAGGGAAGTAGAGGGCAGAAAGATCCTGTATGAAATCGAGCAAAGATATCGTGATACTGTCTATGTGAGCACGGGTTTTGTGTGCGAAACTGTGATAATCTGATGTGAAGTGTGAATCCCCTCCAACAGAGCAAGCCATTCTGCTGTCAGCGCGGCCCTTACCGCGTGCAGAGACGCACGCAGAGCTGTCACTCACTCACACATTTACAGAATTGTCTTTGAATCTTAAACCCTGCACAAAACACGAGCTCTCCGACACTAACACAAAACAGCAAGAAAGAAATCCTACAGCTATAATCTGATAAAGACAGTTTGGAAATTTTACCAAGTGCATTTCAGGCTTGTCAGCATCTTGTGCCATCTGGTGTGAAGTGTGTACCTCAGATTAAGCCAGGGTGCTAAAATGCTGGGCCCAAAATTCTTCTCCTGTGGAATTACTGATTAATTTAGTGTCTAAATTCAATTATTAATAATGCTGAACAATAAAGCAGCACGAAAAGTGTGTGAACCAGCAGCTTGAAGGAGTGTGGGATGGTATCAGCACTATCAGCAAAGTTCTTTTGCTCACTAAGCAACAAATGTTTTTGTAAGTGCACTAGAGTGACAAAACATCTCAGTCGCCACCGTCACACGTGTGGTTTGTGGGGGGTTTGAAGCCACAGTCAGACAATCTGCCTTTTGTCACATTCTTCTACAAAGACGTGTTTTCACGCCGTTATATTTTAGACTGCAGAAAGCTGGACAGAAATACTACGTCATTATTATTAGGCTACTCTGGATTGTAAATCATCATCTAACCTTTCGACTTAACTCACTGTCCCACTGAACTCAGTCCTAACCAAATTTTACCCTCTTTCCATTCATTTATTCATCCTCTTTTTCCATGTGCTTGTTATTGCAGAGGGTGTGACTTTTACGTGCCATGAAAGACCTTTTTGTCATCTAATATCATAATGCTCATTCATTCCTGCGTCGACTTGTTTAGTCATCATATCTATCAATCTGCCCAGCGCTCCCTTACTATGTGTGCTTGTTATTCTAGAGGGTGTGGCTGATAGATGCCACAGTTCCACAGAGAGGCCACAGCCAAAAACTGGGTGGTTAGTTTCTCATTATCAAAGGTACCTTTGTGTAGTTGCAGCCCATTCTGACGAATGAAGAGTTTGGTTTCAGTTGATTAGTCCTTTGCCACAACCTCACCCACTGTTATTGGATTCAATGAGGCAAATAAGACAACCAAAATCAGCTCATGTCTCGCAACTAAAGATGAACAGACCGCTGCCGTTAGAGCCTGATATTAACTACTGGTATCAGCATTTATGATTAAAAGGTAAAGAAGAGACGGGATAAACATCCTTCAACCGGGCTACGAGTGTTGATGTTGCATAGTTTGTCAGCCAGAAGGCATTCTACGACTTGCTGGCGACGCCACAAGAACAACAAGTCGGGCAGAGCCTCAATGAGTAATCCTCAACTTGGTGTGACACTAAAACAATTATTTTATTATTTTAAACAGCGTTGTCATATTATCTTAGTAAGGGCGCAGTAAAAACTGCACATAACAAAATTAAAACGTTAAAATCTGAAATAAACAAAAGAATATTTTTAATCACCAACCATTGGTATCAGTAAGGTATTGGTTTTAAAAATCCTATATTGGTCGGAGTAGTTGTAATCATGCCAAAAGCATGAGGTTAACCCCAAAAATCTGCAATACTAGGGGAGAAACTTCTCTTCCTACCACTATCACAGCAGACAGCCAGTCAGTGTGGCCCCTGCCTTGCCTCCTAGTTACCAAGGAAACTGTACACAATATGCATCTGTATTATCGGCGCCTACAACAATTTGATTTGGTGCCCCAGTAGAATCATAGGGGTTTCTAACATATGACACATATGCACATTAGCATTAATCACTCATGCATTACATACACAGAGAAGTGTCAGGCTGATTTTCCCTGCGTGCTCTCAGGATAGAATGGCTGCTTACACACTACATATAGTCTGCTCTTTCTAGCAATGATTGACCCCTGGATAGAAATAGCTGCATTGGCAGCTCCAGTTGTCTGCGACAGACGCACACAAAAAAAAACAAACTTCAACTGCGTCAATACCAGGCCATACCACTTCTGTGTGTCTGTGTGTGTGTATAGTGGCATAGCTGGCTGTCAGTAGAAATAGCTGCTCTCTGACAAGCTTGTTTTCAGAGGCTTGTAATTATCCCTGCACCACCAACTTAACCAGTCAGAGAAACTACAGGCTTCATTCTTTGGTGAGAAAAAAGGAGCAAATTTAGCCGCAGAATGTTTCAGTATATTATTTCACAATATTTTGGTTGTGCATGGTTTGGTTAGCCATTTAAAAAAAAACAACAACTTCCCAATCAACAAAAGAAACCAAACAGTATGGAGCGAATGAAAGATCTTCATGCTGCACTTTATTAAAAGAGTTCTTGGTGTTGATTAACTTAAAAACCTCAATGAGTAATTTTCTTATTTTAAGAATCTCAACGTTTTGTCTCATGGTTTCTGATATTTCAGCTTTCGTGTGAGCCAGCCCGCAGAGAGTCTGCGAGGACATTTGTGACAGTTTTCTCTCCGAGTGAGAGAGAGATAGTGTGGCAATTAGATGCCGAGTTGCCAAGTCTGTGTCTGTCCTCAACCCCCTTCCAGACTGTTCCTTGGAATGTCACACTGTGCTGACACAGGGAGAGTGTGTGCATGTGTGTTTTTGCACTTTGTCAGACTGCATTAGAAAGACAAGACTTCAAAGCGCTGGAGCACTCAAGGGTTCGTGTCTAAATGGACTGGAAACATACTGTAAAAGACACCCATCAGTTTAAAGTGTTTTTAGTTGTTATAGCATCGTGGAGTGAGCGTCGACTGTTTGTTTTTGATTGGCTAATCTTTGAATAAACCAACCTGTTAGATAACCCTACTAGGCAACTGTCTGAAAGGCAGCAGGCTGTGTAAAGACGGAGGGCAAACATTCCTCTTTCTCTGTAGTTATACAACAAACTCTCAGGTTGCTCGTGGATTATGAAACAATCTGATGCAATCTGAAATCATCGATCGCCAAGGTATCAATAATGCAGGAACCAAGATGATACTGAATGCTTCTCGGCTATAAGCCTGCAGTTTGCACCTGCAGAATAATACAGTATATACTAAATATAAACTTATATGTTAAGCATTAGGTTTCTAGTTTATAATGACAACATACAGGCACACAGGGAATGCCATCTCGAGATTCTAACTAGCCCTTTTAGCCCTGTGTCAGACTGGGGACCGGCCCAGGTTGTACCCCTGGTATCTAGGATAGGCTCGGCACACCTGCAACCTTGAACGGGATAAGGAAAGGAAAATGAATGGATGTTAAGCATGTGTTTAAAACATGTGTGTGGTGGATAAACGGTGTATATAACAGTTACAATAACTACAACATACAAAATAATAATAATAATAGTCCTATTTTTAAACTTATATCAGCTTTTCTTTAGACATGATGAGAAAATTATGAGGGAGGAAGAGAAATGGAGGGGGTGAGGGAAAAGTCAATGAAGTAAATGTTAAAAAAAAGCCTCTATTTATTCATTTAAAACATGAGGGATAAAAAGAGCGGTGAACTGAAAAAGGAAAGGGGAAAGTGAGGAAGGAGAGAGCATGTAGTACTGACATGTGGATGAGAGAGGTTGGTTAGCTAAAACCAACTCTGTGCATGGGCACCAGATGGCTGCTGTTAACTACGGGGCAGTGGTTACGCTGATAAGAGACTGTACAGCTGGTTTTACACACACACACACACACACACACACACACACACACACACACACACACACACACACACACACACACACACACACACACACACAC